CTTTAAAAATCCACGCTTGCAGTTCAGATGTAGTTCTGATGGTCCTTGAAAAAATATCCTTTAAAAATTTAATCTTATAGCTCAGATGATCCTTGAAAAAATATCCTTTCAAAAACCACCCTTGTAGTTCTGATGGTCCTTGAAAAATATACTTTAAAAATTTACGCTATAAAGCTCAGATGATCCTTGAAAAAATATCCCTTAAAAATCCACGCTTGTAGTTCAGATGGTCCTTGAAAAAATATCCTTTAAAAATCTACGCTTGTAGCTCAGATGCAGTTCTGATGGTCCTTGAAAAAATATCCTTTAAAAATCCACGCTTGTAGTTCAGAATTAGTTCTGATGGTCCTTGGAAAAATATCCTTTAAAAATCTACGCTTGTAGTTCAGATGCAGTTCTGATGGTCCTTGAAAAAATATCCTTTAAAAATCCACGCTTGTAGTTCAGAATTAGTTCTGATGGTCCTTGAAAAAATATCCTTTAAAAATCTACGCTTGTAGTTCAGATGCAGTTCTGATGGTCCTTAAAAAAATATCCTTTAAAAATCCACGCTTGTAGTTCAGAATTAGTTCTGATGGTCCTTGAAAAAATATCCTTTAAAAATCTACGCTTGTAGTTCAGATGCAGTTCTGATGGTCCTTGAAAAAATATCCTTTAAAAATCCACGCTTGTAGTTCAGAATTAGTTCTGATGGTCCTTGAAAAAATATCCTTTAAAAATCCACGTTTGTAGTTCAGATGTAGTTCTGATGGTCCTTGAAAAAATATCCTTTAAAAATCCACGTTTGTAGTTCTGATGGTCCTTGAAAAAATATCCTTTAAAAATCCACGCTTACAGCTCTGATGGTCCTTGAAAAAATATCCTTTAAAAATCCACGCTTACAGCTCTGATGGTCCTTGAAAAAATATCCTTTAAAAATCCAGATGGCTCAGATGGTCCATGAAAAAATATCCTCAAAAAATATCCTTTCAAAATCCTTGAAAAAATCTTAATTAAATATCCACGTTTATAGCTCTGCTACTCCTCGAAGAAAAATATTTCTTTAAAAACTCCGCGTTTATAGCTCTGCTGGTCCTCGAAGAAAAATATCCTTTAAAAAATTCAGGTTTACAGCTCTGCTTGTCCTCGAAGAAAAATATTATTTAAAAAATTCACGTTTATAGCTCTGCTACTCCTCAAAGAAAAATATTTCTTTAAAATCTCCACGTTTATAGTTTTGCTAGTCCTTGAAGAAATATATCCTTTAAAAAAATCCACGCTTATAGTCCTGCTAGTCCTCGAAGAAAAATATTCTTTAAATAAATCACGTTTATAGCTCTACTAATCCTTGAAGAAAAATATGTTTTTAAAAATCCACGTTCATAGGTCTGCTATTCCTCGAAGAAAAATATTTTTTGCCTTACCTTGTCTCCGGATCTAAAGGCTTAGAACCCTTTTTATAGCCTACTCAGGCTCTGTCTCCTTTATAGAAACCTTTGCAGGCAAACAGGAGCTTTCACACAGTCGTCACTCTTTTGGAGGCCTCGATAGGTTACACTGCTGCTCTGTATCCTGCTTATCGGAAGTTCCCTTGGGCTATGTCGGGATAGTTCCTCTCGAGAAAACTCCTCCTAACAAACTTCAGGTTTGTCGCATTATAATAATCACTAGAATACCGCTCCATTGTTTTCTCGCAGACTCACATATCTTACAGCGATCATCGAAATTAAAATGTGTAATCGATGAACTAACATCACGAACACAGTCGCGCAATTAGGAATCGATCTAGTCACTAATGGTCGTTAGATTCAACCAGCAAAATCCAATCCCATCATTAATTGGAGAAAAACAAACGAGAAGAGAGATATGGTAACGAAGCTTCGTTAAAATACAGTAGGTACCCTGACGCAAACCTGAAATAGTGATGGGCTCAAGGGGGCTAGTACTAAGGTTTGACTTCGGGGCGCCGAAACATTACCTCGTCAGTCTAGAGATCATTTATAATAATCAAATTTTTGACCTTATCTAGCGGTTCAGGAAGATGCAGTCGACTTAAATCCTTCCCCAATTACTCCACTTACTGCAAGCCCAAAACTTGAATAAATCATACCATCCAATCTCCTCACCAGGTCTTAACATTCAGTTAAACCTGATGACAAGCTGTGTGGTGTGCGCCTTTTAAAGGGGTAACCATGAAAATAATTGATAGCCAGAAGAAGAAGAAGAGTGTTGCCAACCGTTTTTAGAAAACAGCTGATTATTCCAATTAGCAAAATGTCAACAAGGGGGAATAATTTAGAAAGAAAATGGAAAAATTATATTCAGAAAATGGCAACCAAAATTTCCTGGCCAAAATTGCCAGAAAAATCAGCTTTTTTTAATTTTACCAGCGAAGAAGATTGGACGTGTGGCTCCCCGTAACCAGCAAAGGAAAAACCAACAGAAGTTTTTGTGGTGAACCACTTGTTGAAGAGTGAATTCAATTTTTTTATTTGTTTGAAACTTATAAACAAACAACACAAAATACAAACTTTTTCTACACAAAATTGAAAGCCTTAAAACGATTAAACAAAATTTATCAAGAAAAGGCTAAAAGTTTAAAAGTTAAAAACTTATAACTAAAACAAATAATTTCATGAAAATTAAAAAATTAAACTTATTTTAAAATTTAAACAAAATTTGGAAAAAAATTGAACAAAGTTTGGAAACAATTAAACAAATTTGAAAACAAAACAATTGAAATTCTAAAACTAAAAAAAATAAATCTTAAACCTAAATATCCAGACCAGGAAACTGGAGTCAACGAGCCACACCATCGCCCGTCCAATCCATCGAGGGAGGCGCAGATTTTACGCCATTGCTGCTCCAGCGTGGCCTGGTATCATTCCCAATCGACATTTGTCACACTGAACTCCGGACAGACAGACGGACGACGAAGCTAAATGATTAAATTCCGCCGTTTTCCTGTGAAAGAAAGATAGAAATTAGAAGGGGTAAACAAATGAATTTAAATTTAAATTTTACTCACATTTTGATTGAGGTGCAGGTTCACGACGTTGAAAAGAGCTCTATTCAAGGTTAGGTAACCAGGCATTTTATTTCGCTCGTCGATTTTTTTGGTTGTCGACACCACTCCTTTGTTTGTCCTTCCCTAAAATTGAAAAAAAAAGAAACATAAAAAAAAATTGAACGTGGAATATAATTAAAAAAGCTAGACATTAACAATACGTTCGTACTTACCAATTGGGAAGAACCTCAAACATTAGCAGCCTTTACTGTTCCATACTTTTTGTCGACCGCCATCGCAACCTGAAAGGAGAAAGGAGCAAATATGATATTTTAAAATAATTTTGGCGCTGTAAATCTATATCTTCGATTTTTTTGTCATTATGTTTTTTTTATAACATATAAAAGCCTTGTTGAATTGTTCATATCTTTGAAGAGCAAAATTGGCTGAATAAAATGTACAAATTTTTTATAGAAAAGATAAATATGTTTTCGGCTTAAAGCCCTATTAAAAAGGTGGTGGCCATGGGATAAAATGTGGTAAGTTAAGGGTCAAATCTGGGACGTCAGGGATAAGTAGACGTCATGGCGAGAGGTGTTCTCGGAGGGAGGGATATCTCCTGGTTGGTCAGCCGCCAGGAGCACTGTTTTCTGTGGTGATAAAGTAAAGTAAGTTTGGGATTTGGGTTGTAGTTTAGGTGAACGGTTTCTTTTTCTTTTTTTTATAGACATGTTTCAGGCTTCCTTTTATCCCCCTTTTAGATTTTGTGTGAAGTCCGGTATGATTTTTTGTTTGTTCAACCGAAAAGGTCTACAAGTGGCAAGACCCAACCCCCAATCCGACGAGCCATAGCCGCGCTAAACGCCAGCATACCGGCAACGCCACTTAAGGATCACCACAGCGATTTTTCGTTCATTTTCTTGGAACACGGTTGTTACAAAATGGCGCCCAGAACGTGGGGCCTGAGACATGTCGTTAGTTTTTAACAATTGTTAATAGTAGTGCATAAATGTGTTTTCAGTGAATCTTCAATGAGTCCCGTCTAGGTTTAATTGAAAATACCTGACGCGTTGCTTCATCAAAGACTCGGGAAAACACCCTTTGTTTTTCAAGAAAAATATGAAACCTTTTTTTTTCATTTCTAGTGGCTTAGTCGTTCTAGATAATCAATACGTCTAATTGCACTAGCATTTATAATAAAATTTCATATTTCAGTAAAGTTCAAATTTCAGATATTTTAAAGTTATGACGTTGAAGAAATTCGTCTGGTCTAACAGTTTTCATTTGTGGAGACCCGTCTTAGCAGCTTATAAGAAGGCAGGTGACGCGCTGCTACACAAATGTGAACTGCTAGCCTCAAACGAATTTGGGTTTTTTTTAGAATTTAGTTTCTGCCTATATTTAATTTCAGTACCCGGAATTTGGTAGCTGATCTCAGACTTACCTAGATTTTCCATCGGTCCTGCGACAATCGTGGCTTCCGACCATTGGTCGTATGGTCATGGAACGTCTTGAGGTATGCCTGAGCAAGCCGCCTATTCCATATTCCATTTTTATTCCTCAATGCAGTTTTAGTCAATTTAAATTCATCAGTTTTGCCAGTGTAACTCACCAAATCCCTGTAAAAAAAAAAAAAGTGAAACATTTTAGAATTCCCACAGAAACAGTTTATTTGATCTTGACTTACCACTATTTTGACCAGAAATCCACCACCTAACATCATTTGAATTTTCCAGTGTATTTTCATCGAAATTATTCTGCTGGAAAGTAGAATTTTTATGCCGTACCGAATAACCTGTAAAAGTGAAAAGTTTGAATTATTGTCGAAAGAACTGAATTACATTGAATTTATTTTTTATAGTTTAATTACTATAATTGTCTTTTATTTTTTTCCTAATTAAGTGCACGATTGTTTAGTTTCGAGCAAAATCTTTTGACAGATTTAATTTTGATATTTTTGTATTGCCTTTTTGGAGTGTTTTCGTTTATTGGGTTCATTATTTCAAGTAGCAATATGCCTCTTACTAGAGCTGCGAGTGCAAGTTTGGCAGGTAGACCGATACTAGGGCAAAATGGGGCGGTAGCCACTACCGAAGCTACAGCCGTAAGCAGTGTGGTTACCGGGGTTCACAGCGCTCCTTCTAACGCACAACATGTTACAACTGCCGCGCATAGTGGTCCCATTGCTTCTCATATGGCACATTTAACACATGGGGATGTCCCAGCTCAAGGGATTTCAGTCCCAACAGCAAGGTCCAGTTCATCGGCACCGCCACCAGTTCCTTTGAGCATGCAAGAGGCCGCTAACTCGTTCAACACGTCTTTTTGGTCGCATGGAAGCGTTGCGTCACCAAACTATAGTGTCCTGACCGGGTTGCAGCAACTACAGAATAGGCCAATTGTTCCGCCAGCCGATCCAGCAGTCAGTGCAGGGGTGAGGGAAATTATTAATTCTGCCATCGCCCTGTCTCAATTGCAATATCGTCAACAGGAAGAAGAAAGATTGAGAGTTCTGATACCGAGAATTGCCGAAGCGACCAAGCGATCGTTGTTGGGGGACAATGAGGCGACAAATCAATTATTGTCACAAGCCGGTTTGGCGATGCCAGCCGCGGCACCACATGCACCAACGCGGACATCCCTGGAGTCAGCCATTCTGTCCTCACATGCATTGGCGGCAGGCTTAACGTCTCAGCAGCCTAATGTAGCAAGGGGTTTCCAACAATTATATCCGGAGCGGGCAGTAAATCCACCATCGATTCACGATCCTAGACTGCTGTCACTTGGTCCATTCAACCAACCGCCACCAGGGTTCGCATCAAATGGTGCACCAGCACAGCCGCCAACCAGTTTATCGGTACCACCGCCAGCCAACGGAGTCCGAACTCATGCAACACCACATATCAATCAAATCAATCAACAACCAAGCAGTACCATCTCAGAGATCTCCGGACGTTTTAATTTGGCGAAATGGGGAGTATCTTTTGATGGGACCGACAAAACCATGAGCGTCCAAGAGTTCATCTTCAGAGTGGGTGAACTGAAAAAGGATTATAATTGTCCCGATGAAATACTAATCACCAAATTTCACCAACTCTTGGAAAAACCAGCACTTGATTGGTATTGGAACCACCGGAAATTGGTCCAGTTTCGCACATGGAAGGAATTAGAAAGTGCTTTGTTGGCGCAATACCAAAGATTTGAAAATGAATTCCAACTTCAAATGCAAATTTTAAATCGGCGTCAACTACCCCAAGAGAATTTTGAGGAATTTTATAATGATGTGCTGCGGTTACGAACACAGCAAAAATCGCCCTACCGAGAGCACGAGATAGTGGAAATAATGCGAGGCAACCTTAAGCCGTCTCTAGCTCAAATGATCTTCTCTGCTCAGATAAGTAGCTTGGGTGATTTTTATAGGCAGGTGAAGAAAGCCGAAAATCTTGTGTGGAGCCAAAGACAGCAGAGATACAACACACCACAAAAAGTGCATGAGATCGATTGGCAGATGGAAGAGGAACCCCGAGGTGAAATTGAAGTTGATGCCGTGACCATGACATCCAAATATAAATGTTGGAACTGCGGTGTTGTGGGTCATAGCTGGATGGAGTGCCGGGAACCTCGAAAGATTTTCTGCTATAGGTGTGGCCTAGAAGGTGTTACCGTCCCCGATTGTCCGAAGTGTCAGGGAAACCGACCCAGGAACCCACCTCAGTCTGGGCAGGTGAGGTCAACCCCAGTTTAAGCCCAGAGCAGTGTAGTAGTTCTAAGGCCAACTTTTCTATTTTGAAGAATGAGGAGAGAGAAAATAAAAATTCAGGGATAAAACCGAGATTGAGAGAGTTGAAACCCCTACATATTCGAATCAAAGAATATTGCGAGGCGAGAGAAAGAATTTTTGGGCAAGTTTCCAATAAAATAAAAAAGGCTAGGGAGAGATACAAGAGGAGAAGACGCATTCGACAGGAGATAGCCTCGGCTACCATATTTGAAGGGGAAGATAATCGTCTCTATACAAAACTAAATATCAACGGTGAAGAGATAGAGGGATTGTTAGATAGTGGGGCTACAGTCTCCTGTCTGGGTAAAAATTGCCTTAACTTTGTGGAAAGGGCAGGGTTGGAAATTAACCATTTCCATTCCTTTATCAAAACAGCTGATGGCAGCCCACATAAAATAGTTGGCAGGGTGACGACAATGGTCAAATTTAGGCAGCAGGAGCATTCTGTCATATTTTATCTTGTTCCTTCTCTGAGCCGTGAGTTGTTTCTGGGGGTAGATTTTATGAAACGTTTCCAAATGTTCGCTCAGGTGGACAGTTTGTCCCTTCAGCAAGTGAGTCTCTGTGGTGAGCCTGAGATCAGTGATGTTAATAGCCATTCTTTGTCCGAGGAGCAACGAAAGCGTTTGCAACTAGTAAAGGACAAATTTCCTTGTTTTACCAAGTATGGCTTGGGAAAGACTAAAGCTGAGGTCCATTCAATCGACACTCGCGATGCAGCCCCGGTGAAAGATAGGCATTATCCCGTTTCCCCGGCTGTGCAGAAGCTTATGTATGCGGAATTGGATAGGATGCTAGACCTAGGTGTGATTGAAGAGAGCGAGAGTCCATGGAGTCATCCGGTTACTCTAGTCCGAAAGGGCGAAAAGAACCGTTTGTGCCTGGACGCTCGCAAAATCAATGCACTGACGGTCAAGGACGCCTATCCATTGCCGCATATAGAAGGTTTACTCAGTCGGCTGGGGGATACCTATTTCATTTCTAGTGTCGACCTGAAGGATGCGTTCTGGCAAATTCCACTGGACCCTTCAAGTAGAGAGAAAACTGCATTCACAGTGCCCGGACGACCACTTTACCATTTTACAGTCATGCCCTTTGGTCTGTGCAATGCAGCCCAAAGGTTATGCCGTTTAATGGATAAAGTGATCCCTGGCGCACTACGTGATAGAGTTTTCGTCTACTTGGATGATCTTTTGGTTGTTTCGCCAGACTTCGACACTCACCTGAGGTTGTTAGAGCAGGTGGCAGATTGTTTGGCTAAAGCAGGACTCACAATAAATGTAACCAAGTCGAAGTTCTGCTTCAAAGAGCTAAGGTACTTGGGTTACATTGTTGGAGGTGGCAAACTTAAAACTGATCCGGCAAAGGTGGAAACAATCGTAAAGTTTACGTACCCGAAAACAGCGAAGCAGGTGAGAAGTTTCATGGGTACAGCAGGGTGGTATCGAAGGTTCATTGCCGACTTTGCCACCATTGCTGCTCCCATCTTCGAGACCCTCAAAAAAGGAAAACGCTTCACGTTCACGGAGGAGGCCAAGGTAGCATTTGACAGATTGAAGCAAGCCCTAGTGAGTAGTCCCGTCCTGACCCACCCAGATTTTACCAGGCATTTCTATGTTCAATGCGATGCCTCTGACTTGGGAATAGGAGCAGTTTTATTTCAAAGAGACGATGAGGGTGGAGAACATCCCATTGCATACTTTTCGCAAAAGCTGACTTCTGCTCAGAAAAATTACTCGGTGACTGAGAGGGAGTGTTTGGCAGTGGTGATGGCCATTAAAAAGTTCAGGCCATATATAGAGCTGATGCCTTTCACAGTGATAACTGACCATAGCAGTTTAAAATGGCTCATGTCACACCGAGATCTGAGCGGAAGGTTAGCCAGATGGAGTCTACAGTTGCAGGCATATTCCTTTAAGATAGAGCATCGCAAAGGAACCCAGAACATTGTACCTGATACCCTGTCAAGATATGATATGGAGGAGATTTCCCTGGATGTGAAATCTTTAATTGATCTTGATTCCTTAGCTTTTAAAACAGATGATTACTTAGCCTTGATAGACACCATCGAAAACAATTCCTCACAACTTCCCGATCTAAAAGTGGTTGATGGTTTTGTGTATAAACGAACACAGTTTTACGATGGTATTCCCCTTAATGAAGATTTCGCCTGGAAGTTATGGGTACCCAGCGAAATGACCCAGGAAATCATTGAAAAAGCACACTGTCCACCACAAGTTTCTCATGGAGGTTTCCACAAGACACTGCGTAGGGTGAAAGAGTACTTTTTCTGGCCTAATATGAATACTCAAGTTAGGAATTTCGTACAGAATTGTCAAATTTGTAAAGAGACGAAACCAGCTAATTCGACTCTTCGTCCACCTATGGGATCGGAAACAATTACCGAAAGACCTTTTCAACGAATTTATGTCGACTTCTTAGGTCCTTATCCCAGGACTAAAACGGGAAACAGTTTTATTTTTATTGTGGTAGACCACCTTTCAAAATACGTCTTGCTAAAAGCCATGGCCAAAGCAAATTCGAGAAATATAGTAAAGTTTTTAATTAGTGAAGTATTTCATAAATTTGGAACCCCAGAAGTAATAGTGTCCGATAATGGAAAACAATTTATTAGCAAAGAATTTGCACACATGATTAAATTTTTTGGCATAAACCACATCAAGACCGCTTTTCACTCCCCGCAAGCAAATGCCTCGGAGAGGGTAAATCAGTCCATTTTATCAGCGATTCGAGCATATCTGGGAGAAGATCACCGAGAATGGGATCAAAATTTATCAGAAATTGAATGTTCTCTACGATCTTCTGTCCATAGTTCCATTGGAACTACCCCTTATTTTGCGCTCTTTGGAGTCAATATGATAAATCATGCTAGTCTTTATAAATTAGCCAGGAAACTAAAACTTCTTAATGACCCCGAGACGACACTTATTCCAAGTTCGGTAAAACAGAATCTTATTAGAGAAAAGATAAGAGATAGTCTGCACCAGGCATACGTAAGAAATGAAAAATCTTATAATCTAAGAACTCGTCAGGTCAAGTTCATCCCAGGGCAAGAAGTGTTTCGAAGAAGTTTCAGGCAAAGTGATTTTAAAAATAATTATAATGCTAAACTTGATAAGAAATTTTTCAAGTGTCGCATTGTGAAGCCAGTTGGGAAATGCCTTTACGAAGTCGAAGATCTTAAAGGGCATCCCATTGGCATTTTTCACGCTAAGGATTTAAAGCAATAAATGCTTAAGTTTAGATGATTTAAATTCTTCTAATTAATTTTTTTTTTCTTTTTGCATATATATAGCGGCCGAAGTCTAAAGCATATATATATGAGAGAGCATTTATATACTAGTTAATTTAACTTCAGTTTTAAACTAGAGCGGAGATCTTAGAATGAAATATCAATCCGCAACGTCTACATGAAAATATTTAAAATTAAACTCTTAATTCTACCTTAAAGTTTTCTTAATTTTAAAATTTTCCAATACTCACCTGAATTTCCCAAGAGTTCCTGAAGATCCATTTGAATTTTGATAAAAGTAGTACCTGAATTAAAAAACATTTTTATTAGGATTGTTTACGATATAGTATTATAAGGACTAACCTGAATTACTACTTACGAATTGTCCTTTATTATTCCCAAGTTTTTTTCAAGCTGTAGGACAGCTTTTTCCTTCCTGTGTGATGTGTGTAGGGTTAAAGGTTGAACCCCATTTCTCCAGTTTTTTTACCATAAAGAAAAAGAAAGATGAATTAGTGAAATATCATTATTTAAGATTAATGGCAAAAAAAAATAGAAGTAAACAAAAATGAACAATTTAAAAATTAAAATAGACATAAAATGTCATTCTCAAGCCATACTTACGAAGTTGTTTGGCTAAAAATTGATTATAAAATATAAAATTTTTGTTTATAAAAAATAAAGTTCTTATAATTTTTCTCCATTTTCAGAGCAAAATTACAAAAACTATGAAATTGAATTAAAACTACAACTTACGTCTAGTTTTGAAGGTCCGACAGTAGTACCTCGATTAATTCTGGCAAGAAATTTCGTTGGTGGCATAGTTCTCAAATCCCGTCTGTTTTTTTTATTCGAACAGGCGTCCAATCTTCTAGACTCTAACAGCTGATGTCAGAATTGCGAAGTCAGAGTACGAATTAAAGCATTCTGGGTTTACCGACTCTAGTTGATGTCTGCGCATCCGGAGCAGTCACCTGGTGACTGTCTTTGACCATTAGTGCAATTCCCCTTTCGCGGTGAAGCAGTAGCCGTTCGCTCTTTGGCACGGGCCAGGGAACTGTTGTACACGAGGTCGCAGATCAGTCCTTCACCCGCCTTACGACACTAGAGTCTGGAAGCCAGAAGACAAAAAGAACAAATACACCTCAGTGCATTTGCAAACCATCGTATCCGACATTCTGACAAAAGCTGCAGGTCTAGTCGATGGTACACCTGCTGGAAAAAAAAGGGAGAACAGGATTACTCGAACTTACCATCAAGTGTAATTTCCTGTTTTTGCAGGACAGGCAAGTTCTATTGCCTAAAAGCTTTTCTAATTCTACTTACCTTTTGTGAATTAGATATCCAATTTACGTAAATTCTCTAGTCATTCTATTGGAAGTTGAGACCATCGAAAACTTTTTCTTGTTACCATAGGAGGCCACTCGCCTAGACACCAACAGCAGTGGTCAGGGAGAATTCGTTGGATTACGAGCGGAAGCATCCCAGATTTACCGACTCTAACAATATGTCTACGATTCCTGAACAGTCAATTTATGACTGTCCTTGACCATTTGTGCACTCTTCCTTTATATTCCCATACGCAACTATGGCACAAGGCAGAAGAGTGTTGTACACAAGGTCGCAGAGCAGTCAGTAATCGATTTATGACGTTAGAGTCTGGAAGCGGGAAGACACGGTCAAACACATCTAAATGCATTTGAAATGATGCCGTATCCAACAATCTGGCCAAAGTGTGGACCTAGTTGAAGGTACCCCTACAGCAAAAGAAAAGAAAATATCAGGTCTCAATCTTACCTTTCGTTCCATCCAAGCCTAGGCAGTCACCAATCTGAAAAGATAAGAATAGGAAAAATGAATATTAGTTATCTGTGAAAAAGAGGAAACTTTAAGTCAAATTCAAAAATTAATTTAGAACGAATAGATTAAAATTTAATTTTTAGGCAATCACACCGAATATGTCCGTCCGATTTGAATAACTTTCTCAATTTTATCTTTAATAATTTTCTTTTTTCATACAGTTTAATTATTCCTTCAAAATTTAAAACATTTCACATAATTCGTCACTTTAAATTTACCGAAGCTCAATTCCTAAATATTTTATTTTCAATTAATTCACAATAGTATTTCAATTTAATTTAAATTAATTTTTCTTTCATTTTTTTTTTTTTTTTTTGATATTAATTTGCACAGCAAATAAAAACACTTTTTGCATTAATTTTTTTTTAATTCTGCAACTTTTTAATTTTGTTTTCATTTTTTTTATTTCAATTAAATTCTTTGCACTTTTCGTTATTAAAAATAAACACAATATGTGCACGCACAATTTATGTCCGATCAATTCTAATTTTTTTCACTATTTTCCATTTTTTTCACTATTCCCAACAGTCATCATTCATTAGTTTTTTTGCACATTAGCTCTGTTGCCCACAACATTG